TTATATGAAAAACAGTTTGCTCTTTCATAAAATGTGTCTCAAAAATATGAAAAGAGAAAAGTAGAAGATTTAGGAAATGTGTCTTTTGCTGAGAAACTATTCTGAACAAAGAACATGAGAGTCACAGGAATCTAATGAACTGTATCACATACAAAACTCCCTACTTTGTTTTTGTTTATTGTTACTTTTATTCAGATAGCATCTCAGAATGTAATTCTAGCTTGTCTAAAACTCTCTACTTTGACCAGTGTAGCCTTGATCTTACAGAGATCCAGTTGCTTCTGCCTCCTAAATCCTGGAATTAAAGTTGTGTGTCACCTCACCTAAAACAGGCAAAGTTCTTCATACAGGGGCCAACATCTTTGTCTTTCCATTCTGTATTATTCTGAGACTTAATTTGCTTCTACCCCTGGCTCCAAGTTTGATTTTGCTAAGTTCATCTGAGGTGAAGCTTGTACTAAAATTATTCACCGAGATTTACATTTTATTAATTAAAGATACTCTGTTTTTAATTCTTTCTCATTTATAGTATTGGGTTCAGGCAGTTTAAGCTTTTGTCTTTTTTATTTTTATGTAAAAATCATTTCCAATAATTGTTTTATTGGCAGCATCTAGAGTTCTATTTTCTTTTCTCTTTTTCGGCTGCATTTTCCGGTTTTTCATGTTCTTTCTGTTCTTGGTCTTATGGTCAGTCATTGTGCATCAAAGCCATTTGTATAAATCACCTAGCATTAGGATCCTATTATTTTATTCATCACAACACACTAAGTTCATTACACAAAAGACCACATACAAAGATAGAAACTAACACACTTAAGTCATCTTAGCAGGGCCCTAAACTATCTGGTCCCCAGAAGCAAACCTATCTCTGTTTTTTGTATTTAACATATAGACTCCTCAGAAGCTCAGCCTTCTTTAAATATTTGTTTGAACATCTACAAAAGAAATTCTTGTGTGCATTCTTATTTATTATTTTTGTTCGTGAATTGGGGGTAGTGATTCTTCATCATGAAGAATGTCACAACTACTCTGGGAAAAAAATAATCTGTCATAAACAACTACTACATTCCTATTTAGATTATTAATCCCAATTGCACTCTTAATTATGATTTTAAAATCCATAACTTGAAATGTGCCATTTCACCATCATGACCTGTTATGTAGCCATTTCTTATTTCCACTATCCAAATTCTCTTTGGCAAGCTTAACCCTAGGAATGTTAAACCATAATTTCATATTATTCTCTTCTCAGTCCTGAAAATCACCATACTATGTTCTTCCTGTATTAATTTCTTCACGCTTAGTACTTGGCATGAGTGGAGACATGCAGTTGTATTTTTATTGACTTATTCTATTTAGTGTGATGCCCTCAATGTTATAAAGGCTTATTGCATCATGTATCAGAATTCTCTCTCTCTCTGTCTTAACATCCTGTTGTATTTATGTTTTATAATCTATATAAATTTGACTTGTTTCCACAGTTTAGCTATTGTGCATACTGATGCCGTAAATATGGATGTACAAATCTTTCAGAGATTTTTAGTTCAATTGTTTGGAATCAGAAGTGAAAGCCAGAAGTGGAGTTGCTGGATCATACAGTGATTCTGCTTTTGTTTTGTGAACCAAGCGTTAGAAGTTTCCCTTTGCAAATGAACCACTTTATATTTCTACCAGTAGCACCAGGACTTATGCTTTTCTGTCATTTGTTAAGGAACAGTCATCATAATAGGACACAAGTGGTGTGCTCTTCTTGTCGGTTTCCACTTCCCAAATGACTAGTGATAGAGAGCATTTTTCTCCTGTGTTTAATGGATGGTTCTAGACTCCCTCTGAGAATGGTTTATTTAAAGATTTAGTTAGGCTTATTTTGTTGTTGATGATTTCTGAGGGTAATCCTATATCAGATAAATGACACAAATACTGTTCCCATTCTATAGGTGAACTTTTAACTTCATTGAATCTGTCCTCTTTTACGTAGGTGTTACTAAATTTAGTATAATCAACTTAATAAGTTTTTTTTCTGTATTTCTGTACTTGTAGGGACATATCCCAGACACCGCTGTGAAATACTATGCTGTAAAGAATTTTGTTGGGATTTTGATGGGGATTGCATTGAATCTATAGATTGCTTTTGGTAGAATTGCCATTTTTACTATGTAGATCCTCCCAATCCAAGAGCATGGGAGATCCTTCCATTTTCTGGCATCCTCTTCAATTTCTTTCTTCAAAGACTTAAACTTCTTATCAAATAGTTCTTCCACATCCTTGGTTAGAGTTACCCCAAGATACTTTATGCTATTTGTGGCTATCATGAAAGGTGATGTTTCTCTGATTTCCCTTTCTCCTTCTTTGTTCTTTGTATATAGGAGGGCAGCTAATTTTTTGGAGTTGATCTTGTATCCAGCCACATTACTAAAGGTGCTTATCAGCTGTAGGAGCTTTTTGGTAGAGTTTTTGGGGTCGCTTATGTACACTATCATATCATGTGCAAGTAACGAAAGTTTGCCTTCTTCCTTTCCAATTCGAATCTCCTTGATCTCCTTATGCTGTCTTATTGCTACTGCTAGAACTTCAAGCACTATATTGAAGAGGTATGGAGAAAGTGGACAGCTTGTCTTGTTCCTGATTTTAGTGGGATGGCTTTGAGTTTCTCTCCATTTAATTTAATGTTAGCTATCGGCTTGCTGTATATTGCTTTTATTATATTTAGGAATGAACCTTGTATCCCTAATCTCTCCAAGACCTTTATCATAAAGGGGTGTTAAATTTTATCAAATGCTCTTTCAGCATCTAATTAAATGATCATATGTCCAAGGAGATGTCCTCAGTTTGTTTCTTGGGCAGCTGAGGAGAGGGCGCCTGCACTGACCTTATCCTATAGCCACACTGATGAAGATCTTGCATATCACCATAGAACCTTCATCTGGAGATGGATGGAGATAGAGACAGAGACCCACATTGGAGCACTGGACTGAGCTCTGAATGTCCAAATGAAGAGCAGAAGGAGGGAGAACATGAACAAGAAAGTCAGGACCGTGAGGGGTGCGCTCATCCACTGAGACAGCTGGGCTGATCTAATGGGAGCTCACCAAGGCCAGATGGACTGAGACTGATAAAGCATGTGATGAAACCTGACTCTCTCAACGTTGGCTGACAATGAGGACTGACTGAGAAGTCAAGGACAATGGCACTGAGTTTTGATTCTACTGCATGTACTGGCTTTGTGGGAGCCTAGTCTGTTTGGATGCTCACCTTCCTAGACCTGGATGGAGCAGGGAGGACCTTGGAGTTCCCACAAGACAGGGAACTCTAACGGCTCTTTGGACTGGAGAGGGAGGGGTGAGGGGGAGGGAAATGGAGGAGTGGAAATTTTTAATAAAATAAATAAATAAATCCTATGCTGTTTATCATTCCCTCTAAGTCTGTCTAAGAGCATCGTACTTTAGGTCCTTGCTTTAATGTTTGGCAATTTTCATTTGTTTGAAATACATTGCAAGGTGGTAACACAGCTTTGTTCTTTTGCATGTAGACATCTGGTTTATCTAAAAACATTTGTTGAAATGAATGAGTTTTCCCATTTAACATTTTTGGCAGGCATATCAAAAATTATTTTACCATGATAAGCTAGAGTTTATATCCTGGGAAGTCTATTCTGTCTGATTGGTTTATTTCTGTATTCAAGTTATTACCACACATTAGAATTACCATGACATTAAAATACTTCTTTGTGAGTAGAGATAACTCAGTATGTAAAGGGGTTTGCTGCCAGTCCTGATGAGCTAACTGCAATCATTGAGGCACACATGCTGGAAGAAGAGAACTAGCTCTTATGAGGTGTCAAAATTTCATAAAACTTTTGAACAGACCTTCTTTTCTCCCTTTCTTTTCTTTTTTCTTTTTGTAAAAATGAAAAGAAACACTACAATTTTATTACAGACTGCATAGAATTTGTGGATTGGTTTGTATAGCATCTTAAATATAACTGTCCTCAGCTGGGCGGTGGTGTACACTGTTTAATCCTAGCACTCAGGAGGCAGCGTATCTCTGGGAGTTCAAGGCCAGCCTAGACTACAAAGTGAGAGCCAGAATAGGATATAAAACTTCAGATAAATCCAGCCTCAAAAAACCAAATAAATAACAATTGTCCTCCAACTCATGACTGTAGGATGCTGTTCTGTTTGTTTCTGTTTCTTTTTCTTTCATCAAAGTTATGGTGGTTTCAATGGATCTGTCTCTAACATATTCTCCATTTATTCTTAAGTTTTTTACTCCTACCATTTCAAAGTTCATGTATTTTTATCTTACTTTAGCATTACTCATCACTAGTATTTATAATTTCAACTAATATTTGTATATTGATTTGATTTATATCTCACATCTTTGTAAAATCTCACTGTTCTAGCAGATTCTTTGCTTTCCCTAGTTTTTGTGTTACATACGAGATCATACTGCCATTCATTTTACAGAGAAAATTTTACTCTGTTGCCTGTAATTTAGATGCTCTGTCACTAAATTATCTGCCTATTATTTCCCAGTAATATGTTAAATGGTACTAAAATCTGATTGCAGATATCAGATAAGAATGATATTCTTCTCAAACAACTATGTTTCTAGCCAAAAATACTGAATACACAGTTTTTTGCATGGAGGTACTTGAGTTCTTCTCCTCATTTGTTGATGGCTTTTATTTAACAATGATATTGAGAGGGGTGTAGTAGCTCCTACCCATGGGACCTTATTAAAGGAAGACCATTTTAACTGTGAGAGCAGCCCAGACTACATATGGAATTCCAGGCCAGCTTAGCCTACAGAGTCTCAAAAGAGCTGTGTTTTATTAATGGTTTATTCTGCATCAACGGCAATAAATGTTCCTATGATGTTTTCATGTGTTGAACAATCGTTGCATCCCAAAAGTAAATCCTACCTGTTCATGTTACACATTGGTCTGTATCTCACACCCCCATTATGAGGTCAGTAACTTCTCAACCTATGCATTTCAGGACCTCGGGGGCTCAGTGCTTAAAATCTGCAGTTTTCTGGAGAAAGAACTGAGTGAAGAAGATGTGGATGCTGTTGTGAGACAAGCTACATTTCAGAACATGAAATCTGACCCACGAGCAAATTATGACGATATTATAAAGAAGCAAATTGGGACAAGAAATGATGAGGGAACATTCTTCCGCAAAGGTGAAATTTACTAGCCTGTAGTAGCAAAAAAAATTGTTGAGTGTTCCCTGAAGTACTTTGGGAAAATAATATGTGTTTTTAAAGTATTTCTCCAGGTGACAATGACATTTGGAAGCGTCTAGCATTTTAGTTGACAGCGAACCTGATGTGTTTCTAGTAGTTTCAGTAAAAAAAAAAAAATCTGACAATTTCGTTTACTAAATAAATATGACTTTTCTTCCCTTTAGGCCACAGAGCTCATTTTTTAAAGTATGTCATGTCTTGTCCTAAGCAATAGATGTGTTAGAAGTAAGACTCTAATTCATCTTATGCTATTAGCTTTTGGGGAATTTTTTTGTTTTATTTTGTTTTGGGTTTGATTTGTTGGGTTTGTGTGTATTGTGTATGTGTGTCTAAGAGAGAGAGAGAGAGAGAGAGAGAGAGAGAGAGAGAGAGAGAGAGAGAGAGAGA